TTTTTTTTTTCTTTTTTTTTTTTTTTTAGTGAAGGACATGTCGTCCCGCAATTTGAATGTACGCCCAACCGCAACGCACAGATCCGTGAGGAATAACAATGACCCATTCGACATCTCCGGTGCTGGTTGGGTCAGTCTCGAGAGCAAGTTCAATGAGCTCATGCGGTTGATGGACGCACCAGCCAATGGCATCAACGCACTGGCAGCGCGTGCCGCACACGGCGAGCGTGTTTCCACTGTTATTGAACAGCTCCTGGACCGCGCCCAGGCAGAGAGTCGCAGACTGTTGGTGGAGGGCAACGGTGAGGCGGCTGCAGAAGCGGGAGTTAAAACACTGCGGCTGAAAGAACGATTCTATGGGAAGGCGAGTTTGAAGCTTGTGCCAGCCTACCTCCACCTGGCGCGCACAAACCAGTTTTTAGGACAGTACGGGAACGCTGAAGAGATGCTGTCGCTTGCTCATTTCATTATCCTCAACCACTCGGAGGACGTTGATACGTCGATGAAAGCGGAGCTCCACCAAACATTTGGTCTTTTGTACGCCGCAGACAACAAGCTTGAGGCGGCTGTGAAGCACTTGACGTCTGCCACGTATTACCTGAGCTTGCTGAATGGACCGGAGCACGTGCTGACGACCTTTGGTTTTTTTGACCTCGCCAACGTTTTCGCGACGCAGGCCAGCATGGAGGCAGCAATGGCGCTCTACGACACGGTAAAAAGCATATGGCTGAGGCACATGCGTCATGTGCTCAAGGATATTGTGGACGAGGCGATGGCAGCAAAGGCTGTGAAGCGGTACGAGGATGATGAGGTGGTGCATAATGTGGGCTACGCTTCTGCGAGGGCCTTTGGGAAAGAAAACTTGACTGACGTGTCAAAGATGTTGCATGGTATTTATAGCATCCAGAAGGAACGTTTCTCCAACGCGCACCCGACAACGGCACGCGCACAACTCGTCTTGGGTCTGTTCCTTCTCTGGGTGAACAAGAAGGAGGAGGCAGGACAGCATTTACGCTCTGCGCGGGTGATGATGCAGCGCTTTCACGGTGACAGGCACCCGGTGGTGCAAGAGGTAGAGGAATGGTGTGAATGGTTTGAGATACCAATCGAAGGGGATAAACCAGATCAACTTCAACCCCAGGCACAGGCGCAAGTACAAGTACAACTGGAGGCGCAAGCGCAACAACCGGACCAAAATCCGCAGCAATAGACGCGTCACTGCTATGTAAATACGCTCTGCACTATGGAAGAGAATGCTGTCTCATTGCGTATGGATGATTCATCAATGTGACAAATCTGGCCCCTCCGTTCGGTTTGTTGCACATAGTCTGTCATGACTATGCGCTCACTGATACAAACCCACTATTTTGCCCTTTTTCCCTTTTTTATCTTCTTTTTTTGCTTTTATTGCAATTAGGTGTGGTACCGCTCCTGAGAATGAATGATACCGGACTCGTACACAGCGGAGGATGTGTTCTACGAACTCTCCACCATTCGGGACCCGGAGAAGACGAGTTGCACGTTGGCAGACCTTGATGTGGTGGCACAAGACCGCTGTAGTATCGACTACCATCATCATGTGAAATCATCCCCAGCGATTGGCATGGATAGCGGGAGTCTTGCTCGTGTTTCAAAGCCAATTGGAATAGTAAGGGTAGTACTGAAACCAACAGTCCCACATTGCAGTCTTATGTCACTTATTTGTCTCTGTGTCTACGCGAAGTTAAAGGATACTCTTCCACCATGGATGTGCGATTGGAAAATTGACATTAAACTGGTTGACGGCTCTCACCTGCAGCAGCATGAGCTGGAAAAGCAGGTTGCTGACAAGGAAAGGGTGGCGGCGGCGCTGGAAAATAGAACACTGTCGAAGGAGATTGCGAAACTGATAAATGCCGATGCTGATTGAATCGCTTTGGGAATATTGGGAATATGCGAGGCGTGATGAGTCTAGTAGTTTAGCTCGCGTGAGGGAGACCTGGAAAGGTCTTCAGTTTTATTATCAATTTTTTTGCCAGTGTTTCTGCTTCTATTGCGGAGGCTTGCACGCTCTGCCCGATGTCTTTCTCGTGGTAGCCTTGGCTTCTTTGTCGTTCGCCCCCCCCCCCGCTAAGAAGTACACACACACACAGAGAGAGAGAGAGAGATAGACGTATACATATATTTGACATATACGGCTGTAGAAATCATGTCACTTGATCAGCTGCAGAATCTTCAGTTTCAACTGAAGTTCGTCGCGAAGCAGTTCGCAAAGAATTCCACGCGATGTGAAAAGGAGGAGAAACAAGAGATGCTCAAGTGTAAGCAAGCGATGGAGAAGGGCAATATGGACGGTGCCCGTATTTTTGCACAGAATAGCATCCGAAAAAAGAATGAGTCGCTCAATCACCTGCGCCTCGCCGCTCGCATGGACGCAGTCGTCTCGCGGCTTGACACCGCCGTAAAAATGAAGATGGTGACAAAGGGAATGGGTCAGATGGTAAAGGGAATGGACAAAGTGCTGCATTCAATGAACCCGGAGATGATCTCAAAGCTCATGGACAAGTTTGAAAAGCAGTTCGAAACGATGGATGTCACTTCCGAATACATGGAGAACGCGATTGGCCAGACAACAGCCACAAGTATGCCAGAAGATGACGTGAACACGCTGATGGCGCAGGTGGCAGACGAGCACGGCTTGGATATTAAGGAGCACCTTGATGATAAACTGCGCATAAACAAGACAAATCCAATGGCGGTTCACACAGAGCAGACAGTGGATACGGAGCGGGATGAACTGGAAGAACAGTTTGCGCGACTCCGAGGAAAGTAGTGCCTGTTTCGCTTCCATATCGTTCCTAAGCAAAATAAGTTTTTGCTTCGTATGGCGCGGCTTCTTCAGTAGTGATTGGTTTTGATCTCCACATGGGCTGCCATCAATCTCTTGTGTGTATCTTACCTTCTCTCTGTGTGTCTGCCCATTTGCACGAGTGTCTCTCTCCCTCCCTCTGGGTGGATGTATTTGCCTTTTTCAGTGTGATTCTTTATCCATTTTATCATTTTTACTGTATCGTCTCTTCGGTAATACAGAACCTTCGTAGCCCCTAATGCTGACTAATAGTAACACCACAGAACGAAAAACTTGGTGAGGTGTGAGACACGTTTGGCAAACCATGCCGGCATTGAATTGCCGCGACAGAGCCATCTGTCAAGAGTTTATCCAGAGCAGTTTCACGCTGTCCCATGTCACACCCTACAACGAGCCGGAGTACTCGGGTTGGATCTCTCGACGCCGTTGCGTTGCTGATGTTCTCGTATGGGAATTTAACTGGTTTGTGACGAGCGGCAACTATCTTCTGCGCTTTCCACATAAGAGTGAGTGCTGCCATCCTATCGAAATTGTGTACCTTCCAGAGTCTGGAATTCGGCGTTGTCACACGAAGGAGGAGTGCTGCACCGGTCACCCATTTGTCATGGAGATCGTGACACACACACACTTTATTCGTGAAGAAGGAGAGGCAGTTGCTGTCGAGCCGCAAGCGGTGTACCTCTCGTTTGACAGTGCGGAAGATTTATGTGGCTGCATCGCGTTTTTGGCAAAAATTGCAACGCGGCATGTTCGCACCGCCGCCATTACTTTTGGACCTCCATTAAAAATTGATCACCGCATTCATCTGAACGTCAAAAACAGTGAAAATAACTTTGGCCTTGCTCTTCTTCCAGATATGATGCGGAGTTGGTTGCTGCAGCAAGGGTTAACGGCTGCAGAAGTTGTGGGGAACGAGGAAGCAGTGCTGGGCTGTGCAAAGACATTGTACTACTACCAGCGACGGCAGGGTGTCGCGGCGAACCTTCCACCCGTTCCGGAGGCCGGAATGGGAAGGGGAAATAGATATGAAAGCGACGAGAATGCGTGTGGGCAATGTGTTGTGTTGTCACCAGAGATCGAAAGCATGAAGTTGGAGCCACTGCTATCTGAAGGGGACCCACAGCTTCTTTACAGCCATTGGGAGAGGCTGGACGGAGGGTCTCAAGGTGAAGTGTTCAAGGCGGTACGAAATTCTGACGGTGTCACTGTCGCGATAAAGCGCGTTCGGGTGAGACGAGAGCGCAAAGATCTACCTGCTCTGGTGAAGGAAGTGGCACTCCTTAGAGCCTTGCGCCATCCCAACATCGTGACTCTGCACGATTGTTTTAGAAAAGAAAAGGATATATTTCTCGTGATGGAGCTGATGGATGGTGGCAAGTTGGCGGACCTGTTGGACCCATGTGATGGGCCAGCAGTGGGATTCACCGAATCACAGCTCGCGACGTTGATGCGGGAGGTGCTCCTGGCGCTGAAGTGTATTCACAGTGCCCGATGCATTCACCGCGACGTAAAATCTGATAACGTTCTTCTTTCCTCCCGTGGTGAAGTGAAACTGGGGGACTTTGGTTTCGCCACGCGGGTCTCCGCACCCAAAGGAACACGCCAGACGGTGGTGGGGACGCCCTACTGGATGGCACCCGAGGTGGCGAGCGGGAAGGTGTACAACAACAAGGCAGATGTATGGAGTGCTGGTATCCTCTTCATTGAGCTGTGTGACGGGCAGCCACCGCTGATGGGTGTGAATCCCATGCGAGCCCTCCTTAAGGTGAGTACGGGGCCACCGCCCATGATAAGGACCTTCAAACGGTGGTCCTCGATGTGCAATAATTTTGCGTCGTTCCTCTTGGTGAAGGATCCCGCAAAGCGCCCCAGTGTCGATGCCGCATTGAA